GGGGGGGGGGGTTGACATGGCAGCCACGTTCGTCTTCCTGCCGCCTTCCAAACCAGGACTAGCGCCGCGGTGGCGCCAAAAAGGCTGCTGGGGGATTTCAGACACGACATTTGCATATTGATACAGTAGACATTTTTCCGCTGGGCCCAAAGGCCGCGGCCAGGTCACGGCCAGCTGCAGTTCGGCGGAGGGGGTATGCTCCCAAGGATATATTACGCCAGCGAAATGGCGTTGCCTAGACCCCCTTTCTGGTTGGTTACCCAACAAGGTCGGAAACACCGAGGGTGGGGCGTATTATGCAGCTTTTGGGCCAGGGCCATGTAGAGAGCTGCCGAGTCAGAATAGGAGAAGTTATCTCGAGGAGGCGAAGAGAAAGACCTGGATACGCGGGCAAGGATCATCAGCGTCACATAGTCAAGAAAAATTTGTGAAGAGGCAGGTTGGTAAAGCCAGACAGGTAACCGGGTATTGTTCTGACGGGGGTAACGTGGCGGCTCCGTGCGGCCCCTCACGGGAGAGGGTCCAATTCTCAGAAATAACGAAACCACGACTGGGGCGTTTACTTTGTTCACCTGGAAGGTTGTTGCTACCTGCCGGACTACACCTCGTACTGCGAATCTGCTCTCTGGTGGAGTCACCAGGTCGGAAATCCTCCTCGGCATCGACGGTGGTACGGCCTAGGGTTTTGTGACACGCGCCCTCAATATGGGTACTGCCAGTTAGAGCCTCGCAATTCTGCCTCGATCGCCGATGAACCTTCCCTCACCTTGATTCGCGACGAATTCCTCACTGCTAATGGACGTCTTGTCCTGACGTGGCCCATCCCCGACACCTCCGGCAGCGACTCTCGCTACCCCTTCGCCCCCACAAGACGCCACCAAATTCGCTATCGTGGAATTTTTGGTTGCAAGTCAGATTATCCGGGGGATGTAATGTCCCAGAAATTTCCTAATGTCTCGAGTGCTTGTGCCCCGTGATGCAACCCATATTGGAGGCGAATGAGCATCGTTCTTCTCGCACACCGCATTTCAGGTGAGACTGGTGAAGCGAAGCTACGGTACCATCATATACCAGTATATTTGGACGATAGACATTCGCATAATTCACTTTGTATGAGCGACTTTGAAAATCATCGATTCTTTCACAGTGCTTTATCGTTCCCATAGAATTTGGAGCGAATTCGCAAAGAGTGATGGCTGCGTCCGAACCCGCCGATCACCAGAGAACAGTCGGGGCGGAGCTGCAACCCATGCGCGATCCGTCTCAACCCTCCCCCCTCTGGAGCATCGAGCTATCGACTATCTCCCAGATTATGGCGGACAGACGCCCCGCAAACCAGTATCTGCAGCGGCTACTCACAGAGAATGAGGTACACAAGACATTAGAAGGTGTCTTTAAGTCCTGGGTTGAAGACGAGAAGCTAAATACGTTTCCTGCGGATTCCGACTTTCGACGGTACGCAGCCACCGGGCTAGAGGCAAAGGACGCCCTCCTCTCATACCATTCTCGGGTGAGAGCTTTACCTCCTAGTAAATGGCCAAACCCCACCCAGATGATGCCAAATTCTTGGCGTTGTTCCTGGTACATGAATCTACCACTAGTGAGGGGAACCCATATCCATGATGCCTGGATATGGTCCCTAGACTTGACATTCTTTCCATGTGAATCGGAGACAGGGGGCTATTCTGCAGAGTTTCGGGGGTTAGCATCAGTTGACGCAGACCTCTCGGGTAAGATATTCATGGACGGCGACAAGAGTGCACAGCTCCAATATTCAGCTCCGCCGGCTGTAAAAGATTGGGCGGTAGATGGGAAAGTACGGTGGACCGACCCCAAGAGCCACTCGCAGTGGAAATTTTCGATAAGAGGAGGCGAGAAGGTCGTCCTGTGCGAAGGGATTCAGCCCGTCGTTGGAGCCGGGCCGGTAACAGGTTACCGCAAATTACCGTCCACTCTCGAGATACCAAAGACGATCCTAAAGACGACCAAGGAAATGCCAGTGAAGGGGTTGTTCAGCTTATGGCCAGCTGGGTGCCTGGAAATTGCTCCGGCCGACTTTCCCATCAAGAACTCGAAGGTGTATGATCCCAGTGGGTACCTACTGATGCTTTAAGTCGTGGAGGAATCTGGGGGGACCCAATATGGAGTTGCAATAGGAGGACTCTCTGCGCAGTGGTGGCCGAAGGTGGATAGACGTCTAATGTATCGTGGGGAATGTGCTCGCCATATAGAGTGGTTATAGTGGATATATCAAATCATTTTGAATAACATTTCACCTTTTTCCCTTGGCCGAGTACCTACATTCTCAGTGGAAACGCATCGCACTTCTACTATGGCCATCCGCATCTACTCTCTTTCGCCCATAAAACTACTCGCACAGCCTCCTAAAGTTAAATTGCCCGATTTCTCAACGGGAGAGTCAACGAAAGTCGAGAATGAGCTACTTCGCTTACTTAGGGCGGTGATTAGTGATCCGGAGCGAGTCTTAGTCTGCACGGATAGAACTTGCGGAATCATCTGATTGGATACCTGAGGCTTTGTGATCCCCGCTTGGAGAGCCCTCGTCCCAACGGCTCAGCTCCTCATCCACAGCCCCAGATTTCTGCCGGTTACCACGTGCCTAGCCTTGACTACCGAGGAGTGTGGGGGGGGAGGGCAATAAAGGTGCGAAGTTCTTCGTTGCGTGCAGGCCAGATCTGGCACGGCTATTTAGAGTCTGTGAAGAGTGCTCCATAATCAGACGATTTAAATCGTGACTCTTCCTGACCTAGACGAATACGTTGCCCTGTAGTGCGCACCTGCGCAGAGTGCTTTCCCATGGAATATCTGCTCGGTTTTCGGTTTTTTCTTCACGTTGACTTCAACCTCCTCACGTACCTCCATTATCACGACAGCCTCCAGGACGGTTTTCTCTGACGGCAAACCGGTATACTTCGATTACAGATTCGACTCCGGAACGAATGCGACGATTTGTGGTAGACGAGAGACGAGTTTAGGTCTGTTCTTTCCTCGATAGATCAATCGAGTGTCGCCGACAGACTGACTCTCGGGTTGCTCGCTCGGGAGCCGAATGGCTTCGCATAAACTCGTCAGTACCCTAGGTGCTCAACTTCGGGCCAAAGTTCTCTACCATCTCCGAACGCTCGAACAAAGACCACGGAGGGTGTGTCCGTCTCCCCTTACGGACCAAGGGCGTGATCACAATATTACAACTCATCCGGCGGAAACACATCCTGGACGTTCTAGTGGTGTTCTAGCGAAGCCTTTAATGCACCCGGAGAACGTAGCAAGCTGCCTCTCCTTCGGCGACCTGGATTCCCCGCCCTAGTTCGGATTTGTCGGAGTCAAATCCACTGCTCGATAAGTATGTCCCAGCCCGGAGCCGAGCGACAAGAAGCGAGCTCAGCTGAAAGCATGGAAGGAATCAAACCGACGTCCTGGCGAGGAGGAAAAATGATAAGGAGGTGTTGAGCGATGGGTCATCCCGGGGCAGGGAATTCGGCACAAAGAGTGACGCTAACATGGGACGGCTCTGGATCCTTGTGCGGCCGGAAGTTTGGGTCCTGCGTCTCAGGCTCCAGATTGAACCACCACATGGACAGATTGTAACAATGGAGGAAATAATGAGCACATAGGCATGAGGCCTGCGTTTGCATAACATGTATGCACTAATTATACAGCTCTCAAAAGCGTGAAGATGAGATCGTAGTCCTATCACTGACCACCCAATCTCCGTATCTTTTGCTTCCATCGAGGCTCAAACAATGCGTCCTAGCACAACTCGGCACAGAGATTCCGGCCCCAGCGGCGACTCAAGCCTAGCAGAGGTAAGTCACAACCCGTCTTTCCCACCACATGATTCCCCAGGAAAATGAGGAATAACCATCGTAAACACGCCTCATACACTGTTTTTACGTGTAGTGGGGTATCATGGTTTTGTGGGTAAAAGGATCGAGGTGGCGTTGAATCGCTTTTTCAACTGCGCGATAGAGTCACATAGCGCGGCATAACGTATGCAAATATCTTCTCGCTGTCGGATGCGATGACGTGTCCATAGACCTCGTGCGTTTCTCGGTCAACGATGATAGAGCCGCATTCACCGCGGACGATGCCTTTTGGGACAAGATTAGAGGCAAAGTTGTTGGACAGGATGAGACATACCATTCGGAGGATCAAACAGGACAGTCCATACTTTGTGAGGAGCTTGACCAGGTGGTGAGCCCAGGTAAGCTGGACTCTTCAATAACAAGGCAGGTACCAATCCACGCACTCTCGACGCCATGTAAACTGGGACTCCATGGGCGCGTGGAGCGTCTGCCACGACGTGAAGGAGAATGTTTGGCAATGAAGAGTTGGGACAGATATAATTGCACCTCCGTGAAGCAACTGCAACTTTGTCCAATGATCCAAAGGCTGAGTCTATGGAAGCTTACCTGCAACCTGTTTTTAAATTACCGACCACGGTTACTACGGCGGAAGTAGACGCAACTTTTTCGCAGCGGGTAATAAGAGGAGACGCAGGACACCTAGCTTGATGGGTCTCGAACGAATCGTCGTAAGGGGAGAAGCTTGATGCCCAAACTTTGCACTCCTTAAAAAATGACGGCCGATAGTGTCTAGCTTTACGGTTTGTAGTCCACGGCGATATCCTACGTTGGTTCCACGAAAGAATCTACGGGGCGCTCGGCAGTACCGGATCGTCACGCAGATACCACACTAAGCCTACGAATCAGAGTTGGGCAAATTAAGACTGACGTTTGGCGCGAGGTTGCACACCTGTTCCCGCGACATCTATTTCAAAGTACTAGTTATACCACTACAAGCACGTATCATTAATTACCTCTCCCGAGAGACGTGGTAATTTTGGTATGCATTTCTACATTTCAATGCAGCGGCAGCCTCACAACATTTTCCGACAAACTTACAGTAGGGTGCCAAAAGTCACCGGACACTGACGGATAGATTTCAAAGCATTATTTCTCAACCACCATCCGTTTATTGGTAATTCTGCTGTTGTAGAAATGTCTGGTAGGCATGAATGATCTGATTTTGACCGTGGCACAGTATGGGCATGGCCTTCATTTAGCTGGGAAATCTGTACGTGAAATCGCCGAGGTTGCGGGAATCCCCAAATCGACAGTGTCAGATATCATACCAAATCCACACCCAGACCCCACCAGTCGATCTGGAAGGCCTAAAAAGATTACCAAGCGTACGGAGCGACGCATTCTACGCACCCTCAAGGTTAATCCCAAGATTAGCTACCCTGAGTTGCGCAAAAGACTCGATTTAGATGTCTCCGACCAGACCATTCAAAGGCTACTCCAGGACCATCATATCAGGAAAATGGATGGCTAAAAAGCGTCCTAGACTGACGGATAAAGCTGCCAAATTTAGGCTTCAATGGGCTCTTGCGCATCGGGATTGGACGTGGGAAGACTGGCTTAAAGTTATCTGGAGCGACGAATGAGAGCTCTATTCAACGCGGTTCCGGAACTCAGCGAGAATGGGTCTTTCGGACGCCCCAGGGGAAGTGGGATAAGGACATGATTACTGAGAAAGGCATGAGCAGAGACGTCTCAATCATGATGTGGGCAGCGATCTTTGGCGAAGGCGAATTGTCCGATGCCTATATCCTTTCACCCGACTAGGAGTCAGCGAAGATGGGCTACTCAGCCAATTCCTATATCCAGGTCCTTGCCGATAACATCCCGTCGATCCAGGAGCCTGGCAGGATATTCATGCAAGACAACGCGCCTATTCATAAGGCTAAAAAGGTCACAGAGTGGCTGAATGACCATGGAATAGATGTAATGGACTGGCCACCATATTCGCCAGATTTGAACCCCATTGAGAACCTCTGGTTTGAGCTGAAATGCTTGGTCAACGCCATCGATCCAGACCTTCGCTATACAACAGGAGACTCACAGGAGGTCCTCGATCGCTTTGCAAACGCCATTACAAGGGCCTGGGCTAGTTTGGACAGGGTAAAGATCAAGAATGCCATCAAGTCAATGGACGAGAGAGTCAACGCAGTTATTGAGGCCAAAGGCTGGTATAGTCGATTTTGATCTGGAAGATGCGATATTCTGAGACTAATACTGCTGAGGTATTGAATGATACTAATTGTATTACTCTGTAATAGTAAATCTATGGAAAAGTCGTACAGACTGTTGGGGGGGGGGG